ACTATAATGAAAAAAAAGCTTTGATTACTTTGCCAACTTTCAGGACCCATTAGAAATGCTCTTTTATCTACTTTGAAGTGGCAAACCCCACTCTGTCAGCATTCCTGTCAAACACAGTGTAGTACTTTCCAATGAACACATCTCCCAGGATCCACAGCGGCCCGGCTGGAGGTGGGATGTCCATGGCCATGAAACCCGACAGGCAGATGGACACACCCAGCTGAGACTCCTGCATTAAAAAGGGAAGAGTCCAGTTTTCAATAAGGCAAGCTGCTATTTAACACCCAATAATGTTAAATTGCATTGATGTATAATATTGATGTGAAGCTTTAAGGGAGTCTGTGGCCTACAAATCCCAAAAAGGCGGCTGACTACACCTCTAATGGTCTGACTTTACTCCTAAAGAACACATGCAGGCTATCCAGCATTTATTTTTGGTTTGAATAAATACCTTCATGACATAATCCTCTCCAGTCAAGTTAAACAACTTCCCTCCGATGTTAAATGAGACCACAGGGAGGGATGGAATCTTCTTACAGTCAATTAAGTACTAGAGAAAAGAAGAAGTGTGTGAATGATTCATGTCCATTTTCCTAAAAAGAGAAGACACTAACAGTTGTCAGCTCTACCTCTCCCATCAGAAGGGGCAGAGCTCCGATGGCTTTCTGCAGTGCTCTGACTTCCTCCACAGGACCAACAATTAGCGACGTCCCTGTGTCGACGATCGCCTGGCAACCGGTTTTGCAAACAGTCAGCTGATTGCCAACGTCAATGCTGCAGGTGAGAGGACCAGGGTGGTGAAGACGCAGCAGAGCAAAGGCAGCACGCTACTGCAGCCCAGCACTTCTGGTAAGTTTTTACCATTTGAGCAAGTGACCTTTCACAAACGAGTACTCTTAACAGCTAAGAGCAGAAACGTGTCAACAGAAAACACAACTGAGAGTAGATTAAGCCCACAGTCAGGTTCCAGTTCCTTAGTTAAAAAAAGACATTTTTAAACACGGTCCCACCTGTTCATGTCGATCTGCCAGTAGGCCTTGCGGGTCACATTAACATAGTGCAGGTCTCCGGTGTAGTACTGTGGGTCAGTCCCTCCCAGCATCAGCTCTCCTCCCACCGCTGCCGTCGGGTCTCTGACATACACACTCGCCATATCAGCAAAAAGGTTTCACAACAGAATACCTCACAGTTCATGGCAGTGAAGCGTCATGCAGGTTCAGAAAGACTACAACGCCTTAAATGATTTATTCCAATTAACAAATGGAACAGAACACCTATCGGACGTGAGCCGACCTGCTGATGTAGACGGAGAAGATGTTCTGGGGCAGCAGCTGGGCAGCCATGGCGGTGTCAAACACAGGGGTGACTTTGGCCACAGAAATGGAGGGGTACGCCATGCCCAGCACGCCGTCGAAGCGGGCCACGGCAAAAGTGATTCCAGGCTGCTTCACTGCCTCTCCAAACTGTTGACCGGGCACAGCAAGGCCTGCCACCTGGAAGCAGAGGGAACAGAGACTGTGATTCCTGGACTGAGACTAAAGTAAATCGGAGGAAAGGGGGATTGAGAGTCGTAAACGCACAGTGACGGTGTCCTGGCTGATGAAGCCGGACAGGCTGCCTCTGCCGTACTGGATAGAGAACTCTGTGCCGTTCTTCACGTACGTGCTCGACTTCTTTGAATTGTAGCGGTGATGAACCCCTAAATGGAAGCCAAACCACAATGAGCATGTTTCCTGAACCCGGCTCTCCTCCATGCGTCTTCCCCCGCGATAAAAAGCAACTCACAGCAGGCCAGATCGTAGAAGGAGCAGTGGATGGAGGGGACCCACAGGTTGGACGAGCCCGTGTCGAACAGAACGCTGAAGTCCTGAGCGGGGGTGCCAATGCTGATCACGCCATAGTACTGGGCCTGAGAAAACACAAAGGTTCCATAGGAACAACTACAAAAGAGAACAGGGGTTTTCTTTTTGTTCGTTTAGGTGTGCGGCCATTCAGCAGCCCCCGGCACAGAGTGAAGGGGGGTTAACAGAGACAGCAACCCCACCTGGAACAATGTTTTTGTAACAATATCAGAATTCAAGAATAGGAGCAGCACAGTGAAGAGATTCCAGTTCGCATAAGAGCCAAATAAACTGTTCAACACGCCATATCGGGAGCTCTACGGTCAGATATATACTTTTTTCTACTGAAAATATTCACTGGATGCCCCCTTCATCAATCCCAACAAGGCCAGGAATGAGATAAGTGACAAGGCTTTGCCCAAATAGCTTGCAACCCATGTTAATTTATTCCCACACACGCTTAAAAAATAAATAAATAAGTGGCCGTCAACTTAATTTAAGCTGAAACAACCAGCGCGCGCACGCACATCCATGAAGTTGGTCAGTCTCTCCACGGGCAGGCCGAGGGACGGAGAGCCGCCCGCCGCTCCGCCATCGTCCGCCAGAGCCCGAAGTTCGTCCACGGACATGCCATTGTCGCTCATGAGGCGGCGCAGGCTTCTGGTTTTGTGCAGGGGAACTCTGGAACGACATATTTGTTATTCAAATGTCACCGTTAAAGCGGTGCGCGTGTATAACACGCGCGCAAAATTACAAAAAAAAAAAAGAAACAAGCTTCCTGGTTCAAAGTAGGCTACTTTGAGTTCTAATTAAAACTTCGCTGTTAGACACACTTTAAATTAGCGAAACTCGTGCATTTTATCTGCGTCACTGTCAGTAAAGACAGTTATTAGACACACGTGCGTCTTATTGTGGCTGTAATTAATTGAGTACGGCAACACGTTATTCAACCTGCAAAATTAAGACAAAACCGGACGATGAACATTATTTACCTGATAACGGTGGCGCAATGACTGACCAACAGCGGTGCTATGAGCAGCACAATGAAAAGAGACATCAGTGGTGTCATTTTTGTCCTCCTCGCGCGAAAAGAATCACTTCGGGATTGTTTAGGTATTAGCCGGCACACAAACGCACCATCACCATTTAAAACGACGCAGATAGCTGAGAGGCGCTTCGGCAATGTTCGGACTACTTCGGCCGTCCCGCTATGTGACGCCACGATTGGTGAGAAATAGTCGGTAGGCTGTTCCCATTGGTCAAAGAGGCATTACTCTGTAAGGGTCACGAGTTGTAACGTGACAGTGACAGAGTGATAGGGCACATACGGTTGAATTGAAAGCGGTCAGTAAATATTTGACGTTCCAGCTGAAAAGATGTTTCAGGTGCCACATTTTAAAAATCATTTGGTATAATACCTCTCAGGGAGCCTGCTCTCTTAAGATGGACAATGTTAATGTATTTGTTTTTATTATGTCCCGTTTTATTGCATACATTTTCTAGATCAAGGGTTGTTTTAATTGTTAAATGCAAAAGGCACTTTGGTCATTCATGCTGTTTAAAAATCAGCTATAGAAAAATGCATGAGATTAACAAGCTCCAATAACGGCAACATGTGTATCACTTACTGCTTATGCATATCATTCACCGCTCATTCATTTCATACTGTAAAATGTTTACTGTTTCTTTTCTTTTTTCTTTAATGCAGGGAAAAATGCATGACCAATTCTATACGTTTATTTTTTCTTGGTCGTTAACAATCCCAATATATATTTCTGTCAGTTTAAGACTATACCTTTACTAACTGTCTGACGCTAATCATAAACTGGTTAACAAAACGAACAAAAACAAAATAAACATAAAAAGCTGCTATTACAAAGAAATCTTAAATTAAATGAAGAGGTACGTAACAGTAGTGATTAATATTAGATTATCAGCAGGCGCTCTGTCACTTGGACAAAGTTAGTAGCCTCGTGAGTATCATGTTGTTTGTTTGAGAAAAACAGAGGAAGTAAAGGAAGTTATCTTGAAAGTTGCCGTGCATGACATGAGAATCGTGTTTTTTTTAGACTGAAGAATTGTGTTCCTGAAATAGGTCAACAGACCAAAAGCACAATAATGGACTGTACTCCTTCAGTCTTTCATCTTTGTGTGCACCTCAATCTCTGATCACAATTCAGTGTACAATCATCTCCCGGATGGAGATGTTGGGTGTGTCATTGATGGGAAAGAGTCTGTGCACATGAAACTGGTTGACCACTCTGTGATCTGTTGTGGGATCAAGCACCTCATCATTAACATGAACAAACCACAGAGATTGCCTCAGATTCTTTTTAAGCACCCAGAATCCAGGCAAACACTATCTCCATCCTGCAAAGAGGAGGAGAAGGTGGTGGATCTCTAATCCTTCATTTAAACTATTCACAGACACAGAAAAGCAGTTAGAAACCAGGAAAATCCTTGCTTAGAACAGAACATGCGTTTTCAAAACTGTCCTTTCAATGAACTCTTAATTTGATACAAATGAAGTGCATTTACTCTTGTGACCACTAGAGGCTGCACATTCTGTAAGGTGAGGAAGTATAGACTTGTTGGCACGAACTAATGACTCATGGTGGTATTTTTTACGGGAGACAAAAGGCCAAAGGGGGGAATTCCTGAAATAGCAAACATCCCAATACTCAACATAATAAAACAACCCATGTTCAGCTATCATGAAACTGTTCTGATGTTTCTTGGCTCATTGCCACTGATTGACCAACATTCCTTGATATGCAGAAAGTTTGAAAAAGCCCAAGCAGCTCCTGCACTTCCCAACAATACTCAGTTTAAATAAAGAGCCAGATTGCTCTGTATTTGCTCCCCCATGGAAAGCAGTCTGGGAGATAGCATCACAATGCAGTTTGCTGACTGCCACAAAAAACAAACAAACAAACACGTGGGCGTTTGTTAATGATGTAGTTTTTCTTAAGCCAAAGCCACTGCGAGGAAGTGCTCAGACATAGCTTTCTAGAACTGATGCCCTCTGGCAGGAGCTATGCACATGTCAGCAAAGGAGGGACATGAGACAAAGCTCATTCTCTGAGGCCATCTGTACTCAAATGTGCAAACCTTCTCATGTACAGTGCCATGTTTCCCAATGTGTTATTGGTTGTTTTGAATGAGTAAACCCTGTATATCTTCATTTTTGTGTGTATGACGCAACAGATGCAGGAACTGACTCTTGGAGATAAAATAACCTGCTAGGTTTTGTGTGAATCCCCCTCAAGACGCCCCAAACTCTGAGTCATTTGGGCATGGGTTAAGTCATGCATCAAGCGTTATTGTTTACATTTCTTCACTTGTTTAAGTTCGTCCTTATGACGCTTGTTTAAAACCATACAACAACAAGACCTATGGAGAAAACGTCCTTTGCCCCATATAATAATTAGCCTTGAAAGTGACATAAGACCCGTCAGGCACTGGCTTGGCCTGCCTGACAAGTTACAGATAAAATTCCCGGGGATTTCAGGACAAAGGAAAGGCTTTCAAAAAGCATTCGATGTGAACCGAAAAAGTAAAAATGAAAAATAATATCTTTGGTTTCTGACTGATGTAATGTTAGAAGAAGGGATTCATTTTTAGAGGCTGGACAATGCCGGTCATGGCATCACGGCAAAGTCCTAGCAACTGACAGTAAGGAGAATTCTTGTGGGGGTTTGACAGGTTGCCATTCATCTTTTCACTCTGTTTGTCATGGCATGTCTGTCATAAAGACTAACAAGAATAGGATCCACCCACATATTTTCTCTTTCTTTCTCAGAACTGTCTCGTTTGTGACGCCATAGGCAGACGGAGCACCTGTTGGCCTACCTTAACTGTATGAGGGAGGAGACAGTAGGAAGTGCAAGGTTAGTCTCTTTGGATAATCGCATGAGACAGTCCCTCACCTACACCAGAACCCTGTTTGAACACAGAGGGGAGTGGCAGGGGCTCTGGAACTTCTGCATGATGGTAGGCACGCACCATTTCTTTGTGTGTGGAGTGACTTGCATTGATTTGATTGTTTTTTAAATTTGCATTAAGGACAGACGCTTTTTCTGTTGTTTTGGTTTTTAATCTCAGCGTTACATGCAGACGTGCAGCGTGTTGGTGTGGTTCTGTCACTGTTCTGCCTGTTTTCCAAGTGTCTCAGCTCCGGCATGCCAGATTCAGACGAATCGATCAGCTCCTCAGCCCTGCAGGAGGACGATAACGACGTAGTCTCCTGAATCTGGCGACCTGGAGCTGGGACACTCGGAAAACATGCAGGAGAGTGGTCCCCGAGGACCAGGGTTGAGGAACGCTGGTCTAAGTGAATATACCAAAGAGATAAATCTAGGCTTTCAACTTCATGAATGATTAATGTTTTTACAATTATTCATCCTGCTGGATTTGGACAGAAATATTAAAACCATAAAAGACACGCTAAAAATCTGGTCAAAAGGAGTTTAACTGACAAAAAGCAGAATTAAATTAAGTGACCACGGTGAGCAATACCAATGTCCACACATGTATATAAAATCTTATCAGAATAAGGTTACGTAAGACTTTCAAATAACTACTGAAGAAGCCTGAAATTTATGGGAGGAAATAAAAGAAGTAGGTTTGTTTCCCGCTGAAGATGCAAGTCAACACCGAGAGCAGAGATTTGTTGATAAAGTTTTTCATTTCCAGATAGCTTCCAGAACTATGTGAATAGTTCTGGTAAGCCAGGCGGGATGTAGCTCGACTTACTTCCTCATTGCACACTGACATCTGATTTAGTTTTCGATGCTTGAAAGTGACTCAGTTGTTGTGTGTTGCATGCCACAGTTATCTGCTCAGTCTGCCGGTCAAACAGACACCAAACCAACAAATGTTGTTGGTCGTGTTGTTAAGGAAGCTGGTGATGATGGTCAGAGAGGGTTATTTAAGGCAAATTGAGGCTTCTTTCAGGGCTTACTTGTAAATGAGTTTGCATTTATTTCCAAGTAGACAAATAATTGTATCATTTAAAAGTGGCATCTGATAATACTTATTGTTGCCTTGAGATGTTAGGTTTCGCAATGCTATTACAGTACACATTTGTAAATCTAAAAAAGTGTACAACAGCGTTGGAAGTGTGTTGGAAACTAATTTTGTTCTGAAAATTTGAGAAGCCTGAAGCCTGTGATCCACAGAAATTACTCAAAACTGCAGGGCTGATTTAGCTGAAAGTAAAAAACCTGTTCAGTGTGACATCTCCACTGATTTCTGGAGATAAATAGGTTCCAGGACAGGAACAGGAAAAACAATCCTGGGCTCAACAAAGACAATGAGCATTTCTGGTAAAAGATTTCATGCAATGTTTAGGAAGAGCGTGACTAAAGATAGAATGTTGGCCCCTATGACGCCGTCTGTCGCTTTCTTATTTCTTGACAGGTCTGATAGTGGAGAGTTAATTTGTCTTTTTGATCTAAACCCCAAAGTCCTCCATCGTGCCTAAGAAAAACATGGTGAAGTCAATCTCAGAAGAAATGTCCGAGGGCATCTATGAAGATCCGGATGCTCTTTTGGTAAGATATATTTCTACATTTTTCAACTTCTTGGGGCAGAGGAGAGGATGGATTATTGTTTTGTTTTTTTCCAGACTGAAATCCATTCACAAGAAAAGAAAGAAGAAATAGTAAAACCTATACCTCTCCCAAGAATTAAATCTTCACTGTACATCAACAACAACTACTCTTCCAACGCAGCACCCAACCCAGTCAAGTCGGTAAGCAAAGTACATTTGATGCTTTAAATATACAAAGCACCCATCGGGTTTTAACTTGTTTCATGTGCTTTCAAATCTAGAGTTCTCTACATGAGAAGAGACCAATGATGGGCCGCCCGGTTCGTCCTGCTCCTCTTCCACCAGAGAGCCAAGATGTTACTTCAACCCCAACGGCTGGGAGACGTAGTAGTAAGGTGTGTGATATTCCAAACATAATAAGATTATCAGACTTTAAATGTGTGCTTTTCAGATATGTGCTTAATTCATTGACTTTATCATCAACTTTAAAGTTTAGCTAAACACAACTGTTTTAATTCCTTAAGGGAATTTATGTTGTTGCGGTATAAGTGACAGATATTAACTAAGTAAAGCTACTGTATCTTCGTAGACATGATCGACCGGCCGCATCCCTTCTTGTTGTAGTGGTGGGAATTGGGCTTTTCATCCAAACTACTTTACTGAAGCAGCCATCAGAAAATAGTTCCGACTTCATGCCAAATATTTGTGGGACACACACTAGATGTTTCCGCCACTCTGAGTTTCCCGACGTTCTCTTTGTGCCGTAGCCTCTCCCTCCAAAGGTAGGGGGAACGCCTCCTCCTCCCCCTCCACGACCAGACCAATCTACTCTTTATTCTTATTACGGCCAAGTGCCTTCTCCAGCGAGCCCACTTCCAGAGGTAAATTCTAGGTATATTTGACGTTTTAAGTAAGTTGTGTGAGATGTCTGAGGACGAGTTGAAATGATTAACAGAATTAGGATCCAGTTTCTGTTCTATCAGCATAGTTGTGCAATAATTAGATAGTTTAATGAGATTCTCTTTGCCAGAGCTTCACGGGGACACCTCAACAGTCCCGACGTTCCTCCACCAGCTCCACTGTACCAAGGCCTGTCTCACCAAGACTTTCACCCTCTGGAGAATGGGCGAATTTGTCCTTCACAAGCCAAGCAGAGGTACACCATCATCCAAACATCGTGCATTTCTAACTGCAATAAGTCTGCAATAAAGAGCGTAAATGCGCACAAACCTGTTCTCAGGAAGGAAGGGAATGTTGGATGTGAATCTATGGTGCTTCTTCATGCAGCCACAGTGGCATGATATGAATGTCTCCCATTTTCAGGCCATAGGCAGACAGAACAGGACTTTATCTGTACCCTGTCCGGGCTCGTCTCACCCCAGTCTTCCCAGCAGGTCTTCTTCTGTTACAGAGGTATAACACCTATTGTCAGACACAGAGCATTTATATAATTTTAGATGCATTTGTCTTAAAACCACAACTGCCAGAATCTGGTTTTATGTTAAAAGATCATTCTGAGAGAAGATATTTTTTTAGGTTGATTTTGGCTGAACAAAGAAGTTATAGTCCAGTTCTGGTCTAACTAACAAAAATATTTTTGTATGAGTGTCATCATAGTAAAGACTATGTCTTTAGTTATTTTGTTTGAATCTATGTTCTTCACAGAGAGAACAGTAGAAAAGCAAAACAGAAGCTTGAATAGGGAGGTTCTCATTTAGTCTTGAATGTGCAATATTACATTTTTTGGACATGATTGTGTGAGGAAAAACAGTGCGTGGTGTTTTAAGAGGCAAATGGAACATACAAAAAACATTATATGTGCACAAGAAAATGACACAAAAACTTTGGAGAGAGCTGATCCATTTTATTTTTGAGTTGAACTCTTCATCAAAAGATTCATGTTAATCCATTATAGATCAGATCACCAGGATTAAATTATTACAATGAGAGAGACTTTCCCACCTACCTGGAAATAATTTCAGATGAACCCCCGCACGGAAGGGTGAGACACTATATAGTGGACACACAAGCATGCCCAAAAACAAATAACATTGTGAAACTGAGGATTATGATTCTATATCAATTTGTGATGTCTTTTGTGAACATTTCCAGATACGGTCCATGTCTCATCACAATACAGATAACCAGGCTGACATATATCAGCTGACGACAGACGTAAGGATTATCCGATTTCTCAACCCCCTTCAGGCAAAGTTTGATTTGAGCTTGAGGATATTTGTTACCGCTATTAAAACTATTTATCTTTTAGTGTGCACAATGGTTACATGCAATAAATCATTAAAGAGAGTCCTCAGCATTGGGACACAATGACAAAAACATAAACCAAAAATGATATATTCTTACAATATGAATCCATTAATAAGAAAAATTGACTCTTTTCCACAGGACATCCCAGGACTGCTTGAATGGTTGAAAAGCGAATCCAGTGAGTACAATCTCCTCATTCTAAACAAGGCATATATTGGGAGGAGTTCTTTTTTTCCTTTTACAATTCTACAATATTGTGTTTTTCTTTTTAAATGGTGGGAAGAAAAAATCTACAGCATTCTCTTGCAATGATTGTTGACATCTTTCTAAGTCGCAGCATATTTTACCTCTGTTTGGTTATTCCAGATTTCATGGCTCCACCTTTGCATGGTTTCAGCATAGAGGAACAAATCAGGTAACGAATTCAAACTGTCACAAGAATCCTGCTCTTTGTGTATTGGCAGCGCAATTTCAGGAAAGTGTCAGACCATGTAAATCAGTTACTTTTTTTTTTATTTATTTTTTTTTTTATTGAACTTTTTTAAACATCAAATATTAAACGATCAACATACATATGAGAGGGATTTACACATATATAAGGATAATAAAATTAAAATTAAAATAAATAAAAAATAAAAAAATAATAATAATAATAATAAAAAAAAAATAAATAAATAAAAAAATGATAGTAATAAAAATAAAAATAATAATAATAATAAATAAAATAAAATAATAAAAACTAAATAACAGGTGCCCAAAAGCAGAAAAAAACAACCATAACATTACGAATTGTCCTCTTGTTGCCAGGCTAAGTCAATTAAACCCAGTCTCAATCTCTGAGCTGCAGACGCATCCAAAGAGTCCAAAAAAGGGTCCCATGTCCGGTGAAAAAGAAATGGTTTGTTTTTCAACGCCGTAGAGAAGGCTTCCATTGGAATGATACTTATTATAGTCTGTGTCCACTGGCTTAAGGATGGAACTCTATCAGAAATCCACAACACCATAATACACTTTCGAGCGCAGTGTAACAATATATGTAAAAGATCCCTGTTACGAAAGTTATCTGGCAGCTCATCATTCAGACCCAGTAGACACGTTCTTGCACCCAATTGCAGTTGGTACCTAAATATTAAACGTAACTTGTCTATAACAGATTCCCAGAATTGCAGAATATGAGGACAACTCCACAGGCAATGAAACAAAGAACCAACAGCAGACTGACATTTGTTACAAAGGTTTGATAACGCTGGAAACATTTTATGCCTCTTCTCAGGTGTGATATATATTCTATGTAGGATTTTGAATTGTCTCTCCCAAGTAGAATTCGATGCTAACGCCTTGAAGGGTCGGCTACACAACTCATCCCAGGCCACATCCTCTATAGGGCCTAAATCCACTTCCCACAGGGCCTTAACTTTGTTGGAGTTATCAGTTTTAAGATCACCTAAGATATTATAAATCTTTTTAGTTATACCTTTAAGCTGCGTGGTCTTTAACATCAGCGATTCAATAGGAGAGACAGCCAATCCCCCACTATACTTTCTCAATTTAGAACTGATGAAGCTCTTTACTTGGATGTACTTCAAGAAATCCTTATTGGTAAGACCATACTTAACTCTCATCTGATTAAATTTAAGAAGTGAGCCCTCATGAACCAGGTCACCAACCTTTTTAATCCCTTTTATAGACCAGTCTGCGAAACCACCTTCAAGACCAGGAGAAAAGTCTGGGTTTTCTTGAATAGGAGTGAGAAGGGAAAAGCAGTTACTGTATCCTTCCAACCGCCTGACCCTACGCCAGATAGCAATCATATTCTTTAAAAGCATATTGTTTTGAATTAGTGCTGAGGATTTCTCAGTGGATGTGTACAGTAAGTTCCGCAAAGGAATGCCCTTTAATGGGGTGGCCTCAGCGCTCAGATAAATGGATTCAGGGTCACTGATAAACCATTCCATAAGGAATTTAAACTGTGCTGCCCAAAGGTATAATGAAAGGGAAGGAGCGGCAAGACCACCCTTCCGTACAGGTAAGCAAAGATAACTATACCTTAATCTGGGAATTTTCTTATTCCAAATAAATGAGATAATTGAACCATTCAATTGTGACAAGACCCTTTTAGACAGAACAAGAGGCAACATCTGAAATAGGTACAGAAGGCGAGGTAGAATGTTCATTTTGACCAAGTGTATACGACCCAAAAGAGACAAAGGGAGGCTGCACCATCTTTCTAAATCTCGATTGATTGATTGCACTAAAGGAGTATAGTTCAGATTGAATAGATCTTTTAGGTGGGGTGATATTTTTATTCCTAAATAAGTGAAACCTGACGGGGACCATCGAAAAGGCTGAGAAATATTTGAGTCAACCCCATGTATAACAGAAATAGGCATAGCCTCGCTTTTAGAAAAATTTATCTTATAGCCGGAGAAAGAGCCATAATGTAAAACCAGTTCAATAATTTTAGGAATCGAGTGTGATGGGGAGTTTAGAAAAATCAATACATCATCAGCGTAGAGTGAAATTTTATGCTGATAATTATTTAAAAAGAGTCCTTCGATACTTGCATCTTGTCTAATTGCTGCTGCAAGGGGCTCCATAGCCAGAGCAAATAACAGAGGGCTCAAAGGGCATCCCTGCCGACTACCACGACCAATACTAAAATTCTCTGATCTGAGACCATTAGTAATAACAGCCGAAAGAGGAGACATGTATAAAATCTGTATCCATTTCACAAAGTCCTCACCTAAACCAAATTGTTTAAGTGTAAAAAAGAGATATGGCCATTCTAAGCGGTCGAAGGCTTTCTCAGCATCAAGAGAAATAAGTAGAGCCTCCGGACTAAACTGGGATGAATGCTGGATTATGTTAAGCAGACGCCTGACATTGTGTGTAGAATATCGCCCTTGTATGAACCCGGTTTGGTCATTCTTAACAATAGAGGGCAGCATACTCTCTAAACGTATGGCCAGGATCTTAGATAGTATTTTCAGGTCAAGGTTCAAAACCGATATAGGCCTGTAAGAGGCACAGTCTTCCGGGGGTTTCCCTTTTTTCAAAACTAATGAGATATTAGCCTCCATTAAGGATGGAGGAAGAGAACCAACAACATATGAGGATTGAAACATTTCAGATAGTGGCGAGATTAGAATTTTACTAAATTTTTTATAAAATTCCCCGCTAAACCCATCAGGACCGGGAGCTTTGTTATTTGGAAGTAGTTGAATTATTTTCAAAATTTCACTCTGTGTTATAGGCCTGCATAGGTCATCCCTCTGGGTTTCCGTAATTTTAGGTAGGATTAGTCTTGAAAAAAAGTTTTGCATATCCTGTATGTGTAAGGATTTAAACTGAGAGGCATATAACTGCTTATAAAAAGATTTAAATGTGTTATTAATTTCTGTAACGTCATATTTAAGGAATCCAGAAGAATCTTTAACACACGGGATATTGCGAGAAGATGTCTTATTCCGAAGGAGATTAGCTAGGTAGCGATTTGGTTTGTTGGCAAATTCATGCAGCCTTTGCCTCATAAAAAACATAGATTTCTCAGCCCTTTTCGTTAGCAGCCCCTCCAAAGAGGTTTTGACCACCTGGATTTCATTCCCTAGTTGTTCAGAGGGTGAGGCATTGTATCTAATCTGGAGATCATGCAGCACCAGTTCTAACTTTCTTTGCTCCATCTGATTTTTCTTCTTTAGGCCTGCAGAATATGATATAATTAGTCCGCGAGTATAAGCTTTCAAAGTGTCCCACAGTAGACCGGGAGAAACGTCAGGGGTTGCGTTTATCTTTAGAAAGTGCTCCAGCTGCTCATTTAAGAATTTCTCAAATTTAGGGTTGTGGATCAAAAAATTATTAAATCTCCAAGTCCGATACACAGGGGCAGCATTCAGATGATTTAACTGTATATAAACAGGTGCGTGGTCTGATATAAGAATATCTCCAATTCTACAACTACTAATATTACCCAGTGACCGTTTGGGAGTGAAAATCAGATCAATTCTGCTACTTGTTTTATGAACCCCTGAGAAGAATGTAAACTCTTTATCATTAGGGTGAAGTACCCGCCAGGTGTCAACAAGATCAAGTTCGTTACAGGTGTCCAAAAGTGCTTTGGCCCTTTTAGGAATTTGAGACTGTCTAGATGGAGATTTGTCCATAATTGAGGAGAGATAACAGTTAAAATCTCCCGCTATCACTGAGTTGTCACAAACCCAATCCGAAAAGGAGGAAAAAGCCTGAGTAATAAAGTCATTAGACTGTACTGGTGGAAAGTAAATATTCAGAAATGACACTGACTGGCCATGTAAGGTGCCCTTTAAAGATATGTATCTACCAGACTTATCACTAATTGTTTGGGCATTCATCAGTGGCAGGTGCTTATGTATTAGAATAGCCACCCCCCGACTCTTACTCGTAAAAGAAGAACTAAACACCTGACCGACCCAATCCCGTTTTAATTTAAGGTGCTCCTGAGAAGTCAGGTGGGTCTCCTGCAACAAAGCCACATGCACCTTTTCCTTCTTAAGAAAGCTCAGAATCTTTCTCCGTTTGATAGGGTTGTGTATACCTCCCACATTCCAAGTACAAACGTTCAACTCTGAGTTATCATTAATCATTCTGTATTAAGTGTAAACGCTGATACAAACCTGAGTGACGATAGCCATGGTGCAGACATTTTGGGCTCAAGAGAGAATGAAAAATAAAAAAAAATAAAAAAAAAATAAAATAAAAAAAATAAGGGGGGCAGAAAACTAAAGCACAGGTTGTAAGGAAGATGCACGTAAAATAGGAGAAACCAACAACCTGCTTTGCTATAAGAATTAACACAATAGTATTTACAAAGGATATGAACTTCAAAAGGAAAAGGAACATAGAGGTCAGACGAAGGTCTCCGACACCCAACATGGGGCGCAAGCAAACTTTCCAACTGGAACAGAGGAAGATGCTGGACCAGGGTAAAAGTATTTTCTCCAAAATCAGTAACATGGAAATAGCTGCCAACCCGCAGCTTTATCAAAGTAGCATTCTATATAATGGGCCTATAAAAAAAAGTAAGCATCTCAGCTATAGAAAAGTAGGCATATGTCAATAATAATAACAACTCAGCAGTCTTTGTCAATTACCTTACATTGTGAACCAAAACCAGGATTGCTGAGACCCATTCAAGCAACATATCCAGAATCCATCAGTCAGCCCCTGCTACTGAGGGAGATCCCGCATTTTGTGAAGATTTATCCAAGTAGGCTGCAACAGCTCCCGGTGCTCTGAAAGATCTCTCCACGCCGTTGTGCTTAATCCTGAGGACGGCCGGGTACATCATGGCGAATGAAATCCCCATCTCTCTCAGACGTTGTTTCACGTGGTAGAATCCCTGCCGCTTCTTTACGACCGCAGCGGAGAAATCCTCGAATATCATGATGGGGGCGCCGTTGTAGATTAAAGACTGCATCCTTCTGGCTGCTTGCATGATCCGAACTTTATCCTGGAAATAATGGAGCTTTATGACGACTGCACGGGGCCGTTGCCCCGGGGGAGGAGGGCGAGCGAGCGTGCGGTGACAGCGGTCAATTTCAACGGCATCATCCTTGAAACTCACGCCCACCAACTGCGGTAACCAAGTCTTAAAAAATAACACTGGGTTGGTACCTTCGCTGCCTTCGGGAAGCCCAATAATGCGTATATTGCACCGACGGCTCCTATTCTCCAAATCATCAATCTTGTCCAAAGCAACTTCTAGCTTGAGCTCAACTTCAGAGAGTTTAGCATGGTGATTAGCCATAGCATCCTCCTGGGTTGATATGCGCCCCTCGGCCTCTTTCATTTTTGCGTCCAACGTGGCTATATTAGATGCAAATGTTTCCAGTCTTTGCAAAACGGGGTCGATCTTCCTTTCAAACGAGGCTTCTACACCTTTCAGCACCTCCGCGGTTATCCTTTCCACCAACCTGTCGGTGTCCACTTGGCCGTGGTGTGAAGAGGACGGAGCGTCCGCCATTACAGGAGAAGCGCCGTCACTCGGGGGGGGCTGTTTTTCTCCGGCTTTGACCGATTTAGTTGCAAGGTTGAGCTTTTTCTGAGTGCTAGGCATCACGCAACAGTTAAAATCTGAGATATACGCTAACTTTGATCAAAATATACCAAAACCAAAACCTAAACAGATGCCAAGCTGCGGGAGCGCACGGAAAACACAGCTACTCCGCCATCAGCGTCACGTGACCTCCGTAAATCAGTTACTTGTACGGTACAGAAGACTTTTCCATCTTCCAGTGGTAACCGTAGTCTCAGTATTTAATGGGATGATCAATTAAAGATGTAAAGCACTTCAAAGTGTAACCTTAAGAAGTACAGCAACATTTAAATTAATCCAGGCTTTTCTTTCACAGATTTCTTGATCAGAGGGCCATGAACGTGAGAAAGGCTCGGCGTCTCTACAACCTACTCATGATGAGCCGAAAGGAAAGCCTTCAGAATGTCCTCAAAGAGTTTGAATTCATCTGCGAAAAGCTAGACAAGGTGAAGAAGACCAATAGAAACATGGGTATTGCTGGGGGCACGACCGGTGCCGTAGGAGGGGTGGCGGCAGTGGTGGGCATCGCTTTGGCTCCGGTGACCATGGGTGCCTCCCTAGTTGCTACAGCTGTCGGTGCTGGGATGATAGCAGCTGGTGGAGGATTCGGTGCTCATGCTGCTAGAGTCAACAAGAAGATTGTGAACAGGACAACAGTTGAGAAAATGGTAAATGATTATAAGTCTGGAGTAGTGGACATGGAAGATTGCCTGCAGTTTATGCTCTCTGAGATGGATGAGCTGCGGAGGCATGACTTTGCCCGGCTACATTCTACAGCAGCCCACCCAGACACAGTCAGAATGACAAAGCTGGCACACACCTTGTTCAACAGTAACACCTCCCGCAGGGGAATGTCTGTCATCCACCCAGGTGGGGGAACATCTGGAAGCCTTCTTAAAGCCTTTGCAGATGAGATGGATTCATATTTCACAGAGAACAACAATCAGAAGCTAAAGAAGTCAAATAAGAGCAAGTTCTCAGGAAGAGTTTGCACTTTGACTCAAAATCTGAAGGAACAGCTGGACTATCTGAATCAAATGTGGGCAAAGCTTTGCTAAATCAGACAAGGAGTCTGCATGTTTTCTGATCGACCTGTGTAAAATTCACAGCATGCTGTTAGCTATTTACGTGTTTGATTTAACTGACATACAAAATGTTGGCACCAACATAAACGTGTGATTGTTAATGCAAGTATTTCAAACTGTATTCTTAAGTTATGTAATATATAGAAAAGGTTAGTAAATGGAAATCAACGTAATCGTTTACTGTTCCATTATAATTGTTCTTGTAATAAACAGCAATAATTAAAAATCTAAGATCTATTGCTACCTATTTTGTCATGGCGGAATGATATTAGAGATGACTGCGGAAGAACACCGCCCCACTCCGTCCGTTCCTCGCTTCTTTAATAGCACCACGCGCAGACGTCCGCCATTTTCCTTTTAGGCGAACATCTGACGCGAAACGGCTTTATCGGAAACGGCTCTATTTGCCGAAATGGCAGCGTAAAAGTGCAGCTACCAAGCAGCAGCCAACAACACAGTGCATCCAGCAAGTGCACTGAGTCACTTCCAATTCAACAAACATGTCGTAAGTATAAGTTTATTCTCGACTTTTGTCCGTGACAGGTTTCCGGCCTGTCATCGCATTCCCCTCCGTCTTATCTGCTAGTACTGTAGCCGAATCGGTAAATATGTTTTCGGTAGTCGTCAATAAACCCGAGGCGCCGCTTCTACCGATAGGAAATCATAACTCAGTTACAGTATAAATAGGATTACAGTATAAATGGCGTGGGTGACGCAACTTGCGGCAACAATATATAGTAAAAAAATAATCGCCTGTATTACATCAAAGTCTAAAGGCGGAGCTCTTCTTGCTTTATGAAAATAAATGTCACTGTAATAGAGAGTGTCCTGACTGCTAAATGCCAGCGTGGCAGGAATTGGTTTGTCCCTTTATGTCAAAATGGCGGCTTTCAGTGGGCGGTGGGGAACAAAAGTGTGGCTCACAGAGACAGTTATGACGGAGCCCGTAACCTTGTTGTGAAGCGCCCTGACGTCAGAGTCACAAGCTTTAGCTCTGGGAGGAATCACGTGACGTGGTGGACGGCACCCATTGGGGGCAGTGTTGTTCCAAGGAGGATGCTTTTACCTAGCCAAATCACAATGGAGGAACCTTTTTGCATGTAAATTAATCTTTGAAAATGTTTTTCCCGACTTTTGTGTATTTAGTAGATTATTTAATGATTTTTTTTCTTGTATTCTCAATTTCAGGTCCTTTTTGGAAACCCTCAACACTGCTGCATTTGACAGCATAAAAGAGTTCGTACGCACCCTATCATCGACACACGGGCCCTTTGTGACCAACAACAGCCACTATGACCATGATGATGACAAACTCACAGTTTGGCCTGGAAGACATGGAGGCCCTTCTCTGGGAGCCTTCCTCTCCCATGGCTGATGTCATGGGCTCCCTGTTCGTTAACCCTGACATAGACGGGCAACAGGAGGGAGGAGGAACGTTGTTGCAGGGGGACACATCACCCGTGTCGCCCCTCGCGTCTTCATCGCCATCTTCCTCCTCCTCTCCGCCTCCCTTCTATTCTCCTCCTCCGTCTCCGCCGGATGTCCTCCTCCATGGGGACAAGGCCGGTACTGAGTCTGAACTCCTTCCCTTCACTTTGTTGGGCCACTCTGATCAGCTGAGAGGTAGACAGATGCCCTCAGATGACAAAGGTAGTGATCTTATGCAAAAGTCAAACACTTGTGTCTGTTTTGGCGAGTTAGAGCTTATGAAGTCTTGATTTTTCTCTCCACAGAGGATGCAGTCATTGACCTTGACTGGATGGCAGAGAGGGTGGATCTGAGTGAGTTTGACCTGGACTCTCTGATTGGCTCCTGCAGTCCTGCCGAGGAGGCCCCCACCTCTCCAGAGGAGCTGCTTGCTTCCCTGGATTGCTCCATGGAGCTCGAACCCTTCCCACTGCCGACACTCCAAACTCCTGTCCTCCCCAGTCTTCCTTCTGCCTCGTATCCGAGCGCCCCGTCCCCCGCTCTGTCCAGCGATTGTCCAGATCCGTCTGTCATTACAGTGGACGAGCCTCAATCTTGTGTTGATGGGCAAGAGGTTCCTCTCTCTCTTCTCTCTGTCCCAGAGCCACAGGAGGAGTTGGAAATTAAATCTGAACCTGCCTCTCCAGATCCCCCCCCCCCGGTGGTTCATTCTGCTTCCTCCCCAGTCTTCACGCTTGACCTGGGCAGCGAAGTGGACGTCGCTGAGAGTGATGTGAAGCCCGTGGTCACGACCGTGGTCCCTCAGGTCCCAAGGATTGTGCTCTCCCTCTCCCCAACCCGCATCGTCCTCGTGCTGTCTCCCAAAAACAAAGCGTCCGAGGTAGTTCGCTGCCCCCCGCCGGCCTCGCCCCCACAGAGCTCCCCCAGAAGCCGGCCGTACCCCGAGCTGAAGCACGGAGCCACTCCCCCCGCAAACCATGAAGCAAAGGCCGAAAGGCCAACGCTGAAGGCTCCCAGGGACAAGAAGCATAAGAAGATGGAGCAGAATAAAACGGCTGCCACGCGCTACAGGCAGAAGAAGAGAGCCGAACAAGACGCCCTCCTGGTAGAGCATGCACAGCTGGAGAAGAAGAACGTGGAGCTGACCGAAAAGGCTGAGTCTATGGCCAGGGAGATCGAGTATCTGAAAGAGCTGATGGAGGAAGTCCGCCAGGCTAAGCTGAGGAAAGGTCTCTGTGCTGATCCCTAGTGGTTGGACCTAGTAGCAGTAGATGGTGGCAGATAAGAAGCCGACCCCGTCAATGATATATCTTTCATATTACTAATGATCAGTATCGTGTGATCTATCCACACTGCATGTCTTTTAACACTGGTATTGAAGTAATGCTTTAATCGTGTATTAAGTCGTGGAGAAAGGAGTATTTTTCCATTCAGTGTATACAAATTGTGCTACTTTTTATGTATTTTTTCCTCATACAAGGCCCTCACTTACTAGCCAGTAGTACGTCTTTAAAGATTTAAAATGAGTTTGATATACAGTAACCTGACTAAATGTATAATTATTAATCTCTTAATAAAGAGTCGGAAACCTAAATTCCTGAGTTGGGGATTTCTTTGTGATCATAAGAGTGGCTGTAGCTGAGGAGGAAGATATCTTACTTTACGAGTGCCGTCCATCCACCATTTTACTTCATACTGGAGAGCAGATGTTAAAACTACACATCAGCTTAGGCACAAAGCCCACTTTAGCACAGGACTAAATAACTTGGCTGTAACATTGGGACTATGAGCCCTTGTCACTTTGAAAGACATGTTTATAAAATGAATGATTTGTGTCAGTTGCAAGCTTGTTTAGCTGAACAAATACATTTTTGTGTGGTGTGAGTGGGTGTCCTTAAAGCAAACCGACACAAGGCTAATGCGGCCCGGCTGACCAGCAGCACATGGACATCAAATCCAATTGCAGTCATGAGAGTTTAATGGAGACTGGCACAGGGGACCAGTTCATCTTACAATAGTCTTCTGCTGGGTTGTCATTCTGAGCCAAGTTGTGAGGGAGGGCTCATTTGACTGGGAGGGTGGAGTGGGGGGTGGGGGGCAAGATAGAGAAAAAGTTTGCTGACCTAGGTAGAGCCATAGTGATGCAGATAAAAAATGTGTGTGTGTTTACTGTAGGATGGGTCCTGAGTGGGCATGCTGTAATTGGCCTGGGCTCTAGTCCAGATGCTTTAAGGGCTGATCTATAAATCTGTGGAGGCTTGCCAAAGTCAAAATGCTGCAGCGCTAATTTGCAAACTATTGTATCCACTGGAGAAAAAAAACAAAAACAAAACTTTGTGGCTGTTATTGCCTGAGTGCCTGCCTTTTTCAAAGGTTAATATAACAATTTCGAAACGGGATTAAAACCCCATTTAAAACCAAATGGTGGCCACTCCATCATAACTGGGCTTGCTGCGCTGCCACCTAGTGGTGTTACTAAGTAATTACCACTTCTCCCACACGCCATACAGCTGAATAAAAGGTTTTATTCTCTTCTAGGAAGCAATGAACAACAAATATAAACATTAATACAACAAGATAAAAGGCAAAAATAATACATTGCTATACTTGTATCTTTTATTGTCTTCATAGGATGAACAAAGTGTAGATGATGCAATCACCATAGATGAGGGGACTACACAGTCACTTTGGCTACATTCAAGTGGTGGCACTTACACAGTGCAAAAATGCTTTGCTAAGAGATTACAAGTTATCATATCTTACGCTGTAAATATACTCTGCTTACAGAAGATACTCAAGAGGTGGAGTGGGACTCAACTCCCAGTGGGTGCTTGAAATGTCCTCGTATGAAATGTTAAAGTCATGCTGCTCACACTAAGCACGGCGCTAGCTCACGTCACTAGAAGCACAGAGTCAGTCTAACACAGGGAGCTGCGGCAGGGTTTTCTTTTGTCGGCTGCTTCGAGGGTAGAAAATGACATTTTACAGCATGGCAGTGGTTTCTGTCCCATATTTCATACGCTTCTAGTTCTATCTATCGGTGTTTCCTCTTCCTTATATCCACTTATTATTATTATTATTATTATCATTATTATCTTTTATTTCGGTGGGGTTTAAGGTGGAGGGGGTGTGACGCCAAGGTGTCCCAGACTTCTGTTTCTGTTTTTCAAGCAAGACTCGGAGGTTTAAGACGTGAGGGTTGCCTTCAAATCTGCAGGCACTGGTTTGTTTTTCGCATGCGTTGTCCTAACATGCCCCTGACCTCTGAGTAAACATTTACATGTGACTTTTTTTTTTCCTCTTTTAAATCTTTTTTCTTTGCTTTTTTTTGGTCAAAACTTCCCCTCTGATGTCAGGAACAGAAGTTTTGTGGATTTAGAAAAAAAAACGGAAAAAAAAAGCGGGTAGGCTGGATAAGTCCTGTGTGGGCCTGAACGGTGTCATGAGGTTTTCTTGTTTGGGTGGCATGCGAAAGCTGGATGCGGCCTTTGGGGACGCAGCTCTGCCCACGCTCTGGCGCTTTGATGCTGAGGCACGTAGCTGGATCCGCCTGATGGATAATTGCCGTGACCGTAGCCGCGACTTTGCGTGGATTAAAAGAACCCCTCGCCACGAGGTCCACAGCAAGACTCCCACTTTGCTTTGAAATGTGACTCCCGTCCAGGAGCATCTGTCAGCTTTTCTGTAAGAAGAGCAGTCCGGCCCGGGCTCCCCAGGCGGACCCTAATCAAACTTTGATGAACGGGATTTTAGAAGCCGAGATATGAACGATAATTAAGTCAGCAGGGGTCACCTGCTGTTTTAAGGCTGATCTACGTTTCTATATATGCGGAAGATGTGAACTGAGGCCGTGTGCGCTCCCCCGAGGGAGCCGGTGTCAAACATGCTGTTTTTGTCTCGTGGTTTGATTTGGTTTACGTTTTCACGTCGAGGTTAAAACTGAGCGAACGGGCAGCTATGGCAGCCCCCGGGTGGCGACGGGGCGGGAGAGGATGACCGTGAGCGGCGATACACAGAGAATTAGCTCCGACTGGTAATAATTGGGAGCAGCAGGCCTGCTTTGCCGGCTGCTGACAGCGGCTTAATTCAGCCGACCGAACCCGGCTGCTTTGGAGAGCCACGTTTTCTCTCTCACCGGCAAAGTCTGAGCTCCAGTCGCTCGTGATTTCCTCCTCCTCGCCTTGGGTTTGATGGCTCGTTGAACAGTGAATGTGGTCGTGTCACCCGACTCCTGCTTTCCTAACCGTCCGTTTGTTTTTCCCCTGAAACTCCGGAGCTTCAGTGTGAGATTAAAGTTACATGAGGTGATGTTTTGGGGCCTACTGACGACTCACAACGAAGAGAGGAGGGCCAGGCATCCTTTCCTTTTTTTTGGCGGCTCTGTGTCACTGCAGCTGGCATCCTCGGCAGTCGTCCTCCGGTTCGGTGTTGTCGGAGGAATAGGAGCTCTCCTCGCTCACTGTGGAAAGAACAACATTCACATCAGTTTTTTCACACGAGAGACGGTTCAAAACAGAGGAAAAAGGGAATTGTTCTAAACTCATTTGAAGCTCCTGCTTCATTGAAAACAGGTCAAAGACGTTGAAACAGAGTACCGTCTTAAACGACAATCTGGGGTTGAAATCAGTGACATCGTACGTTAAAAGAGTGGAACTTACACCATTCTGTCTGGATGGGGAGGAAGGCCTTGTCCCCGTTGTCCCTGACCATCTCCTCGATCTTGTCCAGTAGGACCGACACGCTCCGGTCCTTGCCGGGCACCTTGCTGTCCAGGACGTGGTAATAGTTCCCGCAGAACTCCAGCAGTCTCTGCAGCTCCCGCCCGCCCCGGAGGATGTGCTCCTCGATGGGCGTGCGGCCCAGCCAGTCCCCGCAGCTGAACAGCACCATGGTGTGGAGGCAGGCGCCGTCCCCGAACAGCGTGGCTATGTGGGCCAGCAGCGTCCGGCGCTTCCGGGCGGTCAGCGAGGACACCACGGGCAGGACCAGCAGCAGGGTGTGGGGCCCCGGGCGCAGCAGGGCGGCGCCCCGCTGCGACTCCTGCCGGATGCGCTTGGGGGTCCGCCTCACCGAGAACCAGTCCCAGCCGGGCGTGTCCACGATGGTGACGCGGCGGCCGCACACCAGCGCCTGCCGCCGCAGGCACAGCTCCGTCTCCTGGCCCGACTCGAAGAAGCGCCGGCCCAGGATGGAGTTCCCCACCGAGCTCTTCCCCACACCCTTCCACCCTAGAAGCAGCAGCCTCAGCTCTGAGAGGGAGAGGGAAGCGGAACCAGGACAGCGGTCAGAAGGCACAATCCCACCTGAGGCCTCAGTGTTTTAGAGTCTCCGCTCCCTCATACCTCTGGGGGGTCCCCCGATCATTTGCTCCCGCTGTCTGGCGTGCTCCTCCATCCTCATTCGCTCCTCCTCCAGAGCTCTCCTGGCTTGTTCTTCCTCCAGTAAAATCAACTCGTTCACCTCAAAGTACCAGCCTGCACGGAGGGAGGCGACACATTTATTCCCCGTACTGTTTTCTCTCAAACGGGCTGATGTTTTTATAATGCAGCCTCCACGGAAGCCTCAGGAACCACAAGACGAGCGTTTCTATTATTGGACATTTGAAATAGAAAAACACTTCCATTCTCAGTTTTATAGATTTATGAACTAAGACACAGTGAAGGGAAAAAAGGTTTCCACCTGGAATTTGAGATGAATAAAAGATGAAATATTCCTGCTAATGCTCCCTGAACAAAAACAAACCAAATGCAGAGGAAAAGCAGAACCTCCTTCGGCAGAGCTGAAGTCATCCATCTCTGAAGGCTGTTTTCAGCCTAACACATCACTGTGAAAGAATTCTGTCCCACTCTGCCTTCCCTTTCTCTGGTTAACTGAAATTTCCTGGCCTAGGTTTACACATAACTATTATAAGCACCCACTATAATATTTAATGGGCTGAGGATGTGAACTTAGACTGGACCGTTACAACACTTTGGGGTGAACTTGTTGGGATGTCTACTGAGAAAACTGGTCTCAGATGTGCCCCATTTTCAAGTGAATAGCATTTTTAGCTATTTTAAAAGCTATTTTAGCTTAGCTTTACCCCCCCGTAAACAATAAAACAGTATAATGTGTGTTTACGTCTAGATTTAGACCTGAAAAGGACCAGATAATAACTTGAGAATGAGGCAGGTGTTCCTGGTTTGAACCTTGGCTGGTGGTGTCTTTCCTCCTTGGCACTGCTTAAATATGTATTTCGAATCAGACGTTGTATGTAGCTATTTCTACGAACTACCATGGACCAGAATTTTAGGGTCCTGAGTAAAACAGCTACTTTTATTACAGGAAAACATTGTAAAGTATCAAATAATGTAAAAACTCCAAGTAGGTCTAAGTAACAAATGAAACCATGAACACAACGAGAAACAAAAGCAAACCTTGGTTATCAGTGACCATTTCCTCCACTTTTTCCATCAGTTCCGGTACTTGGGTGTTTTCCTCTGTCTCCTTTCGAGTGTTATCAAAAGCGTGATACCTGCAGTCAGACAAAAAAGATGCGGATGTTTAAACCCAAATGTTTAGTTTTATTTCTGCCAATGAAGAAAACAGCAATACTCGTAGGCCCTTTCCATAGTCTGGAAGAAACAAAACCCCGATGACATCATAGTGATGAATCAGGACTTTTTCAGCTCAGACTTGAGAATGGAATCCTATACCTGCTGTGATGAAAAATATTCATATTTTCAAGGTTTGAATCAAACTAGAAACTAAAAACCCTCTGGAAGAAACATTAATTTGTTTTAAAAAGTTAATACATATGTCAAAAGTGAACCAACGAGAAGAGCTTTCATCTCTATTCGCTATCACTTATAGGCCATGTGATATGTGAGTTACAGTTTTGTTTCTGAGACTTGTATTTTCTGTTATGGAAATTCTTTTAGCTCTCGGCTGTTTTTCAATGTCCTTTTCCTTGGCAAAAAGGTGCAATTTTACAGAAAAACCTGGCAGGCTGCAGTGTGAGAGACCATTGACTTGCTTTGGAAAGGAGTCAATGTTACATAGGAGCTGGGCAAGATAAGACAGGGATCTGTGGGCAGCAGACCTTGACGGTAAGTGTGAGAAAATGCCTCGCTCACAGTGCTCTTTGTAGGGTTCGGGCTGAGGTAATCGCTAACGGGGCGAGCTGACACGATGACGGCACACGATACATTTGGAAACGGTCTCAACGCGTTTCCTCGCAGAGGTCTGATGCTTCGCCAACACTTTGAAGATCCTTCTGTTCAGAGCAGGCTTTTGAAAATAGACACTCATAGAAATAAAATAAAAAACTCTGAAGACATTGTACCTGCTTCCACATCTCTCCACCAGCCACTGCAGAGCCTCTCCTGTGTTGGCTATGTGCTCCTCGATGAAGACGCCTTTGGGCAGCTTGTCCACACATGTGAAGAGGACCATGGAATACCTCCAGGTCCCTCCGCCCAACGCCCCCAGCTGCTCCTCGGCAGCCTTCTTTTCGATCTCGGTGAAGGGCTGGGTGACCGACACCACCAGCAGGATGGCGTGAGGACCGGGGGGGCAGAGGATGGCGCCCATGCAGGGCCCCTCGCTGTCCAGGCTGGGCGGGGGCCGCGCCGGGCTCTCCGACTCGGCGCCGGCGTTGTCGTTGGTGTCGGTGTCCTCGTCGTCCTCGGTGTCGGCGGGGATGGCCCACGATGGGGTGTCCACCACGGTGACCCGCCGGCCGTAGATCTCCGTCTGGGCCACGTTGTTGTGCGTGGTCTCGGCCCCGCCGTCAAAGACGTTGAGTCCCAGAATGGTGTTGGCCGAGGAGGTCTTCCCGGAGCGCGGGCCTCCGAGTATTAGCAGGCGGCGCTCGGGGGGGTGGCGCCCTCTGGATTCCCCTGTTAAAGCAGAGACAGATCAGAGGTTCTCCGAAGGAAAGTCTTTCACAGCTGCCAATGGAACGTGGGAGTTTAATGTTGTACAATGTCAAATGTGTATATGATTCTCGGGGACATGACCACATTTTTGTGGATCCTTCTTATGAACAACACAACCCCATTGAAAAGAAGCACAAATCCTAAACAACTACACTGTTAAAATCCCTTCTTCTGACTCTAGACTATTGCTATTTTAGTTTATCTAGAGATTTCTTGCTACTTTGGTATTCTCTGTTTTAGTTTCCTGCACCTCACCTCCTCTCCCGTCATTGCCGCCTTGTGAAAAACTGATTTCTGCCGAGACATCTTCATATCTGAGCTCCCGTATTTCCTCCCCTCAGCTCCTCTACCTCTTCCCCCTGCAAACACACTCCCCATCCACAGCCGTTGGAAAATTGAACTCAGGCGGGAGCACTCCTCACGGACAGAATATGAAAATAAGTTACGGCCAGTCGTTTGAGACTGAAAGGCGTCTCGATAAAACGCCACAAGGATGCAACATGGATGCTCAGCGTGCGCCAGGAGAGGTGAACGCTCCATGACGACGGCAACAGAAAGAGAAGACCAGGAGCCGTGGGAAGTTCATTATATCATCCCTCTTACTCACTGTTGGGGCAGCTTTCCATGTGATTAGCTAACCACATACAAACGACCCGTGCAACAGTTTTCCCCCTTTAGAGGGAGACGGATGGGAAAGGGGGGTGCGAGTAGGCATGGGATGCTGTGATCAAATGAATGGCGACGGTGCATAAAGTGCTCGGAAAAAGATGTGAAACTGGCTCACCAGTGTCAGAGGCAGAGGACACAGCAGCCATCTTGTGTGTAGAACCTCTGGCTTCCTCCTCCTCAGTCCCCCTCCTCCTTCTCCTTCTCGACTCCACGGTGGCTTCCTTGTCGTGCTTCTTCAGAAAGCGGCAGACGCTGAGCGGCGGGCGCAAGACGGCCGACCCAAACGCTTCTCAGCCCTCTCTTTCACTTTAACCCTCATTCTACTGCAGTGTTACTCACTCAGTCTTCGGTTTCCCCGCGTCTGCTGCTCCCCTCATGCCTCCTCAGCCTCTCGCTCTTTGCTGTGATCTATTATCTCCCACACCCTCTTCACCCCAGAGCAGCTCTGCCGTGTATCCTTTTCCTCCCTTTTCCTCGTCTTCCAGCGCTCCCTCTTTTGGTCTTTTTCTTTTTATCTGTCCAAGCAGAGGGGAAAGATTGTGCAATGCAGGAGATTGAAAGCCAAGTCCACCCCTGCTGCAGCAGCAGCAGCAGCAGCAGCAGCTCCAGGAGGATGTCCTAGCATGGTTTGCGGGGCAAAAAAGAGTAAGATGTTCCTCCCACTTACTCCTTCCACAGCAGCAGCAGTATGCAGACTGCAGTCAGAAGGACATATAGAAAGATGGATAGACAAATAAATGAGGGGAGGGGTGGGTAGAAAAAAGAAGTCCGTTCTGTGTACAGCTGGATGTTTCCCCCAGGTGCTGCAACACACACACACACACACACACACACACACAAACACAGAGACAGAGACGCACACACATATATACAAGGCAATTATGTAATCCCTGCAGACACTGAAATATTGTGAGGCTCCACTCATAAATTTAAATAATGATACAAGGCATGAGGTCACAGCTTACATAATACAAAGAGCACCTACAGATAGCAGAAAACTGTAAGGCGTTATTTTGTTAGCAATTCAAAGCACTGCCATCTTACTGTGCAGTTTTTGCAGATTACATCATGTGTAGCGAGAAGAAAAAAAACAAAAACAAAAAACAAACAACCGTCGATGGCTTATGGGCGCCAGCTATGCCGTGATGCATTCACGGTCCCTGATAATAAGCTGCGTTTATTTTTTTTCAGAGAGCGCTTACATTTACGACGCTGATATACGCCCGTGTATTGATTGACTGACGGGCCGTGAACGAAGCAGCTGCTGTCTTGGAGAAAAGCTGCGCGGCTCGAGACCGCGTCACCGTATGCCGTCACAAGTGTCGCAATCAGACCTCGAGCCGTTCGCCGGCTCGGAGTGTCGTAAAAGCACTGTCCTGTCCACAGGCAACGCTGCAAGGCGCAGTAGCCTTCCGTTTTCACCGGGTGCACGTGCGTGTGCGTGTTTCAGCGTGACTGCTGAGGTGAAGGGAAAAGTCTTCTCCATTAGCAAACACGGCTGGCTAGCATGGAGGGAGCCGACGAGTACAGCAAGTACCGCTCACCGCTGGTGTCCAGGTATGCCAGCAAAGAAATGGCCTACAACTTCAGCGACAGGAAGAAATTCACAACCTGGAGGAAGCTGTGGATCTACCTGGCCAAGGCTGAGAAGGTTAGACACTTTGTTGCAGAATAGCAGCGGCCGTAGTCACCGTTTTGGATGTTTTAGCGTAAACAAACAAACAAACAAAAAACACGTTTATGTCAAGCTTAGCAAGTCTTTCGAACTTTTTTTTGTTTTTTTTTCGCGACCTTCAGGGAGCCTTATCGAGTTCCCTGCTCTAAATATAGTTTTTAAAGTGCACCCCGGTAGCAAAGGCAGAAATAGTGATGCAGAATGATAGTACCGAGCCTTCATAGGAGGAAATATTCTGTCAGTTCTAATGGACTTCTGCCCGTGAAGTTCCTGTTGCATTCAATTATGGGATGAATGCAGGTCCTCTGTGAACAATGTGCAAACAGAGGTGGTTTGAAGACGATTTAATCTGCCATTCACTTAAGGCTTATTATTATCAACGTCAAAATTGTCGTAAGGTCGTATGTAGGTTTTTTTTGTCTTTTTTTTTTCTCCTAGCTATGATAAAGCTTACTTAAATTTCCCATCTGCCCCCTCCCTACACCAAATAGCTTTTAATTGTTAAATTAAGACAAACCTCTATATTAAATAACATTTAGAATAAACGGTAGTTGAATGTTGTATGACACATTTAGTTTGTTTTAGGATGTTTTGAGAGCTTACACACTCACTTATGTTTATTGAGTTAATGAAAAAGTTACTGGGACATTACACATGTATTTTTCTGCTTAATTTATAACATAATGATGACCTCTGACCCCTGTGGAGTAATGAGAAACAGCCCCTTAGACATTGCTGCATGCTCGCTATTAACTGCTCCGACCAAAGGTCCCAGAGCCCTGTGTCTCAAAACGACTCAGGATTGCAAAGACAAAAATGCACAGTCTTTGATTTATTGGTCGTCTCTTTAAGTTCCTGATGGCACCAGCAACTATGTGTGTCTTTTTGTTGATAAGCTATCAAAAGCGCTCAAAGTTGAGCGCTGAAGATCTTTTTAAATCCATCGGCTGCTTTGTCAACGGTGGCCAAAGTTGGAGGTTAATTGGTGGCGGACATTCCCTCACGTGGGTCAGCCTGCGGCTCAAGAGCTGTCTTTGGGTTCGCGTTAGCTTCTCCACAGTCCCGCTGTGAGGAGCGGGTCGGGCCTGTGATTGAAAATAGCAGAGAATGTCTTGGTAACAAGAGATAGCCCACTGGGAGGCTGCTGATCCATTACTGGCATTTTGTGCTCCGATATCTTTGTGTGGGGTCACTGTGGGGCTTTGAAAGGGCCGGCTTGGACGGCGTTTGCTCGTGACCATGCCATGACAAATAGAGAGAGAGAGGCTCACATGGTCGGGCTTAGTTTCTCAGTGAAGCCGCTCCACAATCTTCCTGAAATCACAGGACTCTCCAAATCTAATCAACGTCTTCTCTTCAGGGCAGCACAAGTTTTCGTCAAGAGTTTTGGCAACGAAAGGCGGGATCTCAGCTGTCCACAAGCAGGCTCTTTGTTCTCTGCTAAGCTAGCGGAGTCACAAATGTTGACCATAGAACATAGAAATGAACTTTGACTTCAAGGCTTCAAACGTACATATCGATCAGGTGGATGGAATAAGATCGGAATGGTGGCGGGCAGATGGAATAAGCCGGCCTCCCCAGCAGCATCTACAGGTCCTCAGTTTGTTCTGTCCATTCAAACGCAAAGTGGGCCAAAGTTTAGTTGTAAAAGGAGAGTTCAAAGGTCATGGAGACGGCTGCATGAAAGAGGAAAGACTGGAAAAAAACCCCACCAGTTTAATTGACGTTAACACGTTTAGGAAAAATATTTAGCTTTGACTTGTCCAATTGTTTACCTATTTATTGCTTTCAAATGGATCATCTATTGGTGACCACCAGCTCCTTTATAGTTGTAGTTGGTTGGTTTTTGGGACTAAGCGGGGGTGCGTCAGAGTTGTGCCGCCTCAGACCGTCTCTGTGTCTCCTCAGGCTTTGGGGCTGCCCATCACCGACGCTCAGATCCTGGAGATGGAGAGCCGCGCCGAGGACATCGACTTCGCCATGGCCGCCGAGGAGGAGCGCAAGCTCCGGCACGACGTCATGGCCCACGTGCACACCTTCGCCAGCTGCTGCCCCGCCGCCGCGCCCATCATCCACCTGGGAGCCACCTCGTGCTACGTGGGAGACAATACCGTGAGTTCCCCCTCTGTCCCTGATGGAGCCGTCTGAAACCCCTGCTGCCGCCCTCTACTGCTCCTCACACGTCTCCCTCTGGGCTTTGTTTCTTTCTTTGCTTCTTCAGGACCTGATTATGCTGCGCGATGGCTTCGACATCCTTCTGCCTAAGGTGAGCATCAGCTTCTTTCTGAAGCTTCAGTTGGGCTTTAAGAACCCAACCGTGTCGAAATAACGGCTGCAGCAATTTGACTGGCACAGCCTTCGTAATGCACCCAGAATGACAGAGAAATGTTCATTGTGGAGCTTTAATGACGTCCCGTGCCGCAAGTCAGTGACGAAAGTCCTCCTTTGTCCTGCAGCTGGCCAGAGTCGTTGACAGGCTTGCAAACTTCGCAGAGAAATACGCTGACCTGCCCACCCTCGGCTTTACGCACTACCAGTAAGTCTGAATTCAGATGGCGTCATCCCTCCCCCCGGAGGTTGGGTTGTGTTGTTTGTTTTAGTTTTTTCTCGCAAACCTTTGATTCTTTTCTGCACAGGCCCGCCCAGCTGACCACTGTGGGGAAGCGAGCGTGTCTATGGCTGCAGGATCTGGCCATGGACATGCGCAACCTGCAGCGAGCGCGCGACGACCTGCGCTTCCGAGGGGTGAAGGGGACCACCGGCACCCAGGCCAGCTTCCTACAGCTCTTTCAGGGGGACCATGACAAGGCACGAGAGCCGTCTGACTAACCAGCATGTTGCACTACAGTTTAAATGGTCCAACTGAACTGTGATGGGTTTGAATGTGCCTGCTTGGCCCTTTTTCTGCCACCAGGTGGAAGAACTTGACAGGATGGTGACGGAAATGGCCGGCTTTAAAAAGTAAGCTCTGCACCCAAACCTCTACAAATCTTCGATGTTTGATAGGCTTGGTGTTCCGCCCCATCGCGTGCACAGCTGTTACTATCCAGCCTGTAATTAACAGGTGTTTAAGATAATCCGGCTGTGCTAAACCTTTCCCAGAGCCTACCTGGTGACTGGACAGACATACAGTCGTAAGGTGGACGTCGACTGTCTGTCCAACTTGGCCAGTTTGGGAGCAACTGTCCATAAGGTAAGATGGAGAAATCTGTTGGTAAAAATTCAAAGGATTTTTATAATTTGCCCTGATAGTTCCTCGCGCTGTATCGTTTATCTAATTTGGGCCTATAGATCTGTACAGACATCCGTCTGCTGGCCAACCTGAAGGAAATCGAGGAGCCTTTTGAGAAAGAGCAGATTGGTATGTCACCGTGTCCCCGCCCGCTGCGGCAGCCGAAAGCGTCGCCAGCCGCCCCGTCCTGACCCCCCTCTCCCCTCCAGGCTCCAGCGCCATGCCCTACAAGAGGAACCCCATGCGCTCGGAGCGCTGCTGCAGCCTGGCCCGGCACCTGGTGGCGCTGATGGCCGACCCGCTGCAGACGGCCTCCGTCCAGTGGCTGGAGCGCACGCTGGACGACAGCGCCAACCGGTCAGCCCCGCCACGAGCGTGCCCTCGCTGTACTGTCCAGCCAAAATCTGTCAGCCCTGAGCCCCCCCTGTGTCTCCAGACTGGCTCTAATGGCCTCCGCTGTGCTCTGTTTCAGGAGGATCTCCCTGCCCGAGTCCTTCCTCACGGCGGACATCATCCTCAGCACGCTGCAGAACATCACGGAGGGCCTGGTGGTCTACCCCAAAGTCATAGAGAGACACATCCGCCACGAGCTGCCCTTCATGGCCACGGAGAACATCATCATGGCCATGGTGAAAGCGGGGGGGAACCGGCAGGTACGAGGGCGTTCGGGGAGAGGGACTCGGTCCAAGGAGGGGCCGGACGCTCACCGTCCTCCATGACCCCGTCAGGACTGCCACGAGAAGATCCGCGTCCTGTCCCAGGAGGCGGCGGCCGTGGTCAAACAGGAGGGCGGAGACAACGACCTGCTGGCAAGAGTCCAGCGAGACCCGTACTTCGCTCCCATCCTGGGCCAGCTGGACGCCCTGCTGGACCCCAAGACCTTCATCGGCCGAGCCCCTCAGCAGGTATTAAAATCACGCTCGTCCCCCAAACCCCCCCCCCCCCGCTCATTTAGCTCCTACTTAACCCGCTGCCTGACATCTTTTCATCGCCCTCTCCCAGGTCAGCAGGTTCCTGTCAGAGGAAGTGCGCCCCCTGCTGGAGCCCTACAAGGCCAAGATGGATGTCAAGATTGAACTGGAGCTGTGACACACACATAGCTTCTGCCACGCACGCAGGACTGGAGAAAGAGACTTTTGGTGCTCCTTGATGAATCAATAAAGAAGGTGGTTGTCATTTCTCTCCACTTGTTTTTTTTTTATTTTGGTCAGCTGCTTTTTATTGCCAGTACTACTGCCAGCTTTACTGGCACACTCACACAGATGCCACCAGACTAATCCCACAGAGGGACTGCTTTTGATGCTTGATGAAGAACAGCAGTTCCTAATGTAAACCTGGGATGAATACAATTGTATTTAACTTTTAAAGTTAATATTACATATATATATACAGTATATACATTAGTCAGATTTTTTTAGGAACATTTCCTAAAAATAACAAAAAAGGTGCTGTATGCCTTAAGCTATTGTATCACATTCAAAATCTAACAAAGTAGTTTTGATAAATAGCTGATGTGTTTACACCTTTATCTTACATGATTAGGATGCACTTATTGGGTAATAAATCTTAGAATCATACATGTCACAACACTCGACAGCAGATTCTTTCCCTTCATCTTTCAGCCCTTTCTTGAGTTATTTCTGCATTATCTTTGCTGTGGAAATATGTTATGCAAGTTGGGAATGACTTGGTAATCTCTATGCCCATTCAGTAGTGAGTGCGTTCCAGCACATGGTGGCGCCATCCCACTCCCTAAAAAGCTCTTCCTATCTTTATATAGAAAAACCCTTTCTATTCTTCTTTTTGTCATGGAATTGGTTCACAATGTAGCACTTGCTGTTCTGTGGTTTCAGGCTTCGGTTCACATCTCTACAATTCAGCTTTTAAATTCTTTGCCTCCTCTACATCTAGAGGAGGAGGGCTGTTGAGCAGCACCAGCCCATGATGCTTTCACTGATGGGAAAATGCAGCTCTGGTACGATGCCAGCATGTTTTTGGAAGATGCCTCTGGTTTTGGACAGGAGTTCTGCACTCAAGCCCAATTGGTCAGGGCTCTTTAAGAAGAGCAAAACAATGGAGCTCTCTCAGTCACTCTGCAATCTTGGCTCCTTTCTTGAATCCAAGGCCTCTGTTTATTCGATCATAAAGTCTTGCGGTCTGATAGTACTGGCTCATAATAATCAGCTCTTCGTTTATATTGTCCCGCTTTATTTATACAGATAGAAATCAGCCAGGGCACGCTGCGATGGGAATACTGGGCCCTGAGGGTCCGGCTCTATCCGGAGAGCATTCTTTCACATACTCCATGCTGTGCGATAAACCGAAGGGGGGCTTTGATGCGCGGGCACACGGATCAGACGGACGGCTGGGAATTCTCTGGGAATTTCTCCAGAGCTGCGAGGAGCCCGAGTTTCTGCTGACGCGGGCAGCATGGGGGTGCTGGACACTGCTGTCCCCGGTGAACTTATTTACCGCAGCTGACCAGCAAGACGGAGAAGATTTTGTGTCTTCTTTTCATTGAAAGTCGACCGGCATTACTTCAAAATGCAGGCATGCACTCACCTCTGATTCTCCATATATATTGGCTCATTCTCATACAGAGGAATTCAGAGTGTGAGCTTTGGCGCCGAATGCCATTAACCCCGCTGTTTTCATTAGAGAGAATAAAGGCTCCTGACAAGGTGCTAAAACTCATAAAGCCACCAGTAGCGATGTGCAAAGGCCCGGGAGACCCCTGATGCAAATGTCAGGCAGAGGTCTGGGCCCTCTATGGGAGTGTGGGAGCACACGGTTTCGGGCCACAGCCGCCTTGTTGCTTTTGACTTTGGTTCAAGAAGGAGGCAGTAGCCAAACCCCGTCTCTCTGGGGCCGCACCGTAATCTCCCCAAACACCTGCCCGCGCCTCGGTCTCTCTTATCCCGCTTTTGAGCCGAAACAAAAGCAACGCTTTCCTATCCCGCGGCGGAGCGCTCGCCTCCAGGAGCGGCTATCAGATATAAGAGCGGCCGCAACGGGTACGAGCTGTCAGCTCTTATCATCCCGGGCCCAAAGCCGGAGCATTCCACCTCGAAAAGGCCGTCCTGTCTGCCGGGCCGCGGAATCTGCCAGAGCTGAGGGCTCAGAGGGGAAGGGGAGTTAAGTGTTTGGTGGGGGGGGGGGGGGGGTTGGGGGTGATGCTTGGCAAGGATGACAGACACAGAAGAGAGATGGGATTGTCCAGATGTCAGAGCGCTAGATCTGGAGAGCGATACAGAGACCCACAGACGGGCGGGCGAGTTCCACAGAGAGGGAAATAAAAGAAGAGTGGGCAACGGCAGCTGTGAGCTCACCCTCTCCGCTCCTCTCTCTCTCTCTCTCTCTGGCGCTGGCCTCCAGAGAACTGCCCTTTCGCCGAAAAAATGCAGCGCACCGCATTCCAGCGGCCACACAAAAAGCCCTCCCTCGTCTCAGCTGCGCGGGCACAATCAGACAAGGGCTAATTATGTAATTAGGGCCCGGCCGGTTGCTGACAGGGACCCCTCAGGCTGTGTGCTGGTGTGTCACATTTATGTTATCGGACAATAAGGAGAGTTCGGGCCTTATCAGAGGAGGCAGGAGAATGCCGGCGTTGGGGTGGGGGGGTAGCTCCAGTTGTGGCACTTTGGAACAGATTGCCATGATAGAGAAAAACGGTTCAATAGAATGACATTCAGCCCGTGGTGTGGCAGGATTCAGGCACGTAGGGGCTTGTTGTGAGTCCATATGTGTGTGTGTGTGTGTGTTGGGTGTAATGCGAGGAGGTGGGGACTTTTCGATGCTCCCCCCCCAGAGCCACCTAATTAGCCGGAACCCCTCCGTTTTCACTGATGACCCATGACACGTGCGGGTTTTTTTTTGCCGAACTCGATAAAATCAGAAGATCCCCCTTTTTTTGAGGGCGAGTGGCCCCCACCAGGAGGTCACCTAATGCGCCTAATGGCCGCCCGACAACAGAGAGAGCTGCGGCGGCGTGATCAGGATCCACCGTCCCAGACGAGAATCGAGCCAGTGTCCGTCAGATGGCCAGCGGCCAGACAATCTCCCCTCGCACGGCGGCCTTGGCTCTGGGTGTGTCCGCAGTCGCATGGGACGGCGCAGAATAGACTATTGTTGCTCGCACAAGACAGAGAGGCAGGGGAGGAAGGAGGGGAGGTGGTGGCGGACTGGAGATGGAGGGAGGAGAGATAAGCTTTTAACCAGTGAGCCAAAAGCACATGGACAAGGAAGCCCCCCCCCCCCTTCACTCCATGTGCATTGATGCAGATCCACCGGACTGTTGTCCAGTCATGGACACCCCTGTCAGTTCTTCAAGGTATAATTGGTATTTGCTTTGATATCAACACGGAGCCCCAGAAGCTCAAAAGCAACGTAAGCAAATTTGCCAATAAAAAGTTTAGAAGTCTTCCTAACGTAAAGGTGGAAAGTTTATTTACCCACAGTAATGACAGTATAACATCCATTTTGTCATAATAAAAGTAGAACAAGTGAGCTTTTTTAGTCTAAGATGCTGCCCCCCCCCCAAAAAAAAAACAATGTCTAGCTTTGGAGTGGAATAGAGTGATATTTAATAGGCTTTCAAGCCCTAACAACACACAAATTCTAAAACGTTCTTCAAAATGCATGCAGAACAAATCATGACAGCGACAGTTTGTGTTGCATCTGGATATTTGGCACTGGTTTGGATCCATCTGAGGTCCATGAAATCTAGTATAATAATATATATAATGTTTATGTAATAATATATAATGTATTATAATCTTTAGGCTTTGTTAGCGAGTCATCCGTCTCCATCGATCCCTGTGCTCTGTGTCTTCGTCTCTTGCACCAACAACCCTAATCTCTACTTCCATCTCCAAGAGCAAGATGGTTAGCGAAAATTCCACTGAAGAGTTAACAAGTGAGAGCTGTGGGTCTTTATGGGTGTTTAAACATTAACTGTAATGGTAGGTTTAGCAATTTCCTGTCAATTTCTTTCTGATTAGCACAGAAGATTAGTCTTCATTTTTGTGGCAACCGTCCTGAAAACTAACAATAAATGCGATTTTTAAAAAAAAGTTTGACCACACCCACAAAATCAGGATTTCTTAAACATCCAGTGCTGCATTCTTTTCGTTCTCATCTTGCATAATTACACTGACGGAAGCTGTTTCGGGAAACCCCGTCTTTTACATCAAAAAGCACATCAGGATCTGGGAGGAATGTCTTTGTCTCATCTGAATACAGATGAGTGTTTTCCTAGAACATCGGCAAACAGTCATTAGTACTTACTGGGCTCCAGTTGTCTGCCTCTTTGGTGAGATTACTGCTTTTGAACACAACTTCATGTCAGCTCATCGCTGCATGCCGGGCCCTCTACAGTGGCTGTCTCTCACTCAGCTTTGCAGGCGTTTTGCACGTGGAGCCCTCTGATGCACAGCTATATATGGCTTTAGTCGTTTTTTTGGGACGGTGAGAAACTACTTGTGGTGGCGATGGCTGCCAACGCTTGGGTCCCCTGTTCTTAATGGGGCTGTTTTTAGATATTGGCAGCAGCCATTTCGAATTCTGTTTCCCCCCAGAGATTTGATTTCTTTTGAACAAAGTTGATCACGTTCCAAAAGGAATAATGAAATCTGCCAGAGGTTAAATTTACTGGATTAAAAAAAAGAAAAGAGACACGTCATCTTATCTTTATTTAGTGAGATTATGTCCCCTTCAATGTAAAATATCTCCACTTCTAAATGGGTTTCTTCATGTTTCAGTGAGCTGTGAGGAGGTTTTGTCCAAAAGAAGGCTTCTCTTCCCATCTTACGCACCAGTTCAACAATGCCAGCCTCAGACCTTCCAAAACGTGACACGATCGATGAATCAGCATCAAACGCAAAAAGGGGGAGTAAGAATGCTCACTTTCACACTGCCTAAATTCCACTTTCCACGCTAACCTTTAGCTCCAAGCTGAGCGCCATTCTCCGCTCTCTAATGTCTTGACCTTTTTTTCTTGTTGGAAGTCGTCGGAGTGGGGAAAGGGTATAGATGGTGTTTTATGATAGAAAAAGGCTCGCAGGACTTATGTAAGGGGCCCTGACATTTGGCAGTGGGCTGTGACCTGCTTTGGGCCGTTTCCAGCTCGGAGGATCAGTCAGACATTCGCTCAGACAGACCTCCGAGGCCGGCGCCACTTGTGGGCTGAGCTGATGTCTTAATGTGGCATCAGTGTGAGGGCCCGTGGTCGTGGGATGCGAG